GAAAAACAGGAAGCAGAAAAACAGAGGGAAAAAGAATAATAAGTAGGGGAAGACATGTTTTAGCATTCTAAAACGGTATTTTCTCTTTGGACAAGCAAAAACCAGGGAATCATTCCGATCGAAGGTTGCACAGGTACTCTCATCCATCGCAGTGAGTAGTGGTTTCTCATGATTATCCTTGTGAACACCGAAGTGACTTTGTCAGTCAAATCTAAACATTCGTCTAACTACACACTCAAAGACTTGAAGGTGTGTAAACAAGGAGCAGCAGTAGGCAACTCAATCGCCTATAAAAGTCGTTTTGACCGGCTTTTTCATGAAGCAGGTTATCAGTAGGCTCTCTTTGCGGTGTATTGTTTGCCATCAAGAACTCAGACAAACGCAAACAGATTGAAACCTGAGCAAACTATCAAAGTAGTGAACTCATCGCTGTATCACGAATGATCATAATTACAATAACAACGACTTCATAATACATCATATAGCGGAAATTTGTCTGCATCGTCATCAACACCTCGAATCATCTGTCATCAAGAGCTCGAAGAATAGCTCAAACCAATACCGTCTAACGAAAGCTGTTAAACCCTCACTGTAGAATGAGTCAATGCAACGAGCGATGCTGCCACCATAAACGAAACAATATATTACTGTACAACATCATAAAACAATGAAATGCACAAGTAAAAAAGTAATAACAAGCAAAGATATTATATACAAGAGCGACGGCTGCATATTCAATGCCAGTTCTCTCAAAAAGATGACGGCGACCAAATGATAGAATATAACAGAATAAATTTATCTGCTTCGGCAACGCAGAGACTATCGCCATAATCTGGCACTCATTCATTCACTAATCTTCCATGGCCGCCTCTTTCGGGTCGCCGGAGACAGACGCGTCAGAGAGCTTCCAACGTTCCCGATCCTGTGCCAGAGTCTGAGGCAGAAGACAACTGGAGTCTGCAACAGACTCCTTCTATATATTTGCACCAGGTTAATCTTGGCCGTCCCCTGGGCCTTCTGCCGGTCGGTTGGGCAAGATATAGTTGCTTAGCTTTCCTTTATGGAGGCATTCA